GGCAGGGATCCCAGACCAATACAATTAGTGTGCCTCCTCTATTTTAAAACCCACGAGCCGCCACTGCATTCATATACATATTGTATTATGCATATTATATAATAAATTTGATATATTTCTGCTCTTTGCTACATGCAATCATCCAGCTGAATGTTGAACTTCGGAACAGACCGGAAAAAATACTTATTGCTATTACACATTTTGGACAGAAGAGGTCACTGTATGCCTAACTGACAAGATACAAGATGGAGCACTAAATGTGAGCTAATGTTGTTTATTCTACAAATGCACACACTCTGACTGTGAAAATTGTTGCTTTAAAAACAGGGAAAGAAAAAAATACATTTTTCAAACAAGACACATTTCCAAAAAAATGTGCATAAGAAAAACATGCTCTTATCGTTGTACTTACTAGTCACCTGGTGGACTTTCTTCACTAGTGGCCCATCACCCTGAGGATCTTTGGGCCCTGCAATTCTGCAAGAATAATGGATTAAATTACACTGTTGATGTTTCTTTGGAGAATTCATCTGAACAACAAAATTATTTCAATTTATATCATACTAAATGTCTCGTTTTTTTACCTTACACTAGATGGTTTCACAAAGACTTCATAACGACAGCGTAGATGGTATTTTAGCACATTTTCTTATGCCCCACACCCTAACATTGTTCTGGTACTTTATCATTATCCTAACAGTGAAACATAACAGCAAATGTGTTTGCTATTCAGAAATAAAAGCTAAATGAAAGGCATGGTCTGCTCATATTCTATAACCAAAACAGTACAACATATCCCTATTTACTCTAACCCAAGTTGTGTATCTGTAAAAAAAAAAATTCTGGTACATGTTGAAGATTTTACCTCTGAACACGGGATGGTGGTGCAAAAACCCCATATTTGGGCAAACAGTGGAAGTAACGTACTCCAAATACACTGCCGTCATGCTTTCCAGTGGGCTGCTCCAACTCCACACCAAACCAATATCCTGATCACAAGAATCCACACACACAAAATTCTAAACACTTACTGCACATCATTGTACTTATATGTGATTTCATATTAATTATAAGGTAATTGCAAATCATCATGTCAGGCTTATTCTCATGTCATTATATTATACCATTATCTTAGACCGTCAGATAGACATACCGGGAGCAAAGTCTGTCTTGCCAAAAAAGCGGACGATCCCTTGCTTTTGGCCCGCCACCAACACCTGATCCCCAACCTCAACCTTGACTCCATCAGGATCCAAACTGACCCCGGACAGAGGCTTGTTTCTTGGAGCTGGTGCAGAAGATGACAAACTTCAGATATACACCAGTGTCTCGGGCTCACCAAGGCTGCATTTATTTGATCAAAAAATGCAGTGTAAACTAACATTGTGAAATACTATTAGAATTTCTATTTTAATAGAAAATTCAGAATATTAGAATGATTTCTGAAAGATCATGTGACACTGAAGACTGGATCAATGGCTGCTAAGATAAAAAAACAAGCTTTTTCATTAAAGGAATAAATGACATTTTAAAATATATTAAAATTGAGAACAGTTCTTTTGAATTGCAATAATATTTCACTGTTAATATTACTGTTAATCAAATAAATGCAGCCTTGGTAAACATAAGAGACTTTTAAGTGGTCACACTGGGGTGGAGGTGACTGAAGAGGGGGTCTGCTCAAGAGCTTTGCTGATTTTTGACACAGGGGCGAAGATGCCTGAAGAATGGACGTGCACACCAAATATTAAACTCTAGATTATTTCATCTGAATAATGCGATCAGTCTGAATCTCAATTCATGCTTGCTGTTGTCATTACAATAATTATAAAATGACTTTTATAATACAGAAATTAAGAGAACACACCTTGTTTTGGGGGGCAGATAAAATAGCGGATCCCACCCACACTCCCATCATTCTTGCCCTCCGGCTCGTCCAGCTCGATACCAACCCACTGCCCACTAGCAAACTCAGTAGTGCCACAGAAACGGAGGGTGCCAGTCTGCAGAAAAGAGGCATTCTGTTTTATATATATATATATCCTATATTCTCCTAGCCTAGGTCCTTTGGACTTTTTACACTGCATCCATTCTTCAACATCTTTAAACACACAGACTCTCCTAATCTCACCTTTGTTTCATCCAGCACCACACGGTCCCCTAGTTTGAGGCCTAGAGAGGAGAGCATAAGGTTGCCGGGAATGTTGTCATAGTTGGGCAGGGTGGCCCGGGGCAGGTTACAGCTGAGAGGCATGGCTGCTAAGATAAAAAAACAAGCTTTTTCATTAAAGGAATAAATGACATTTTAAAATATATTAAAATTGAGAACAGTTCTTTTGAATTGCAATAATATTTCACTGTTAATATTACTGTTAATCAAATAAATGCAGCCTTGGTAAACATAAGAGACTTTTAAGTGGTCACACATTAACTTGGGTTTAAACAATGATTTGATAACAAATTGATAAGAAAATGAACATTGGACAACACAGAACTTCAAATGCACATATAAAATAGATGGATGTTTGATATATACAGTGGGTACGGAAAGTATTCAGACCCCCTTAAAGAGCATAAGGTTGCCGGGAATGTTGTCATAGTTGGGCAGGGTGGCCCGGGGCAGGTTACAGCTGAGAGGCACTGCATCCAGTAGCAACTGTTTCAGCTCTTTAGCCACCATGGCAGCCTCAGCTTTATCCAGACTCATGTCCATAGGGTCAGGGACAACCTCAGCAGGCTCTTGACCCTTATCATTCTGTAGCATGCAGAGAGTTAATTTTGAGATTACAGACATTGCCTTCTGGGTCAATAACATAGTCACAGTTAATCTTTTAGTAAATATAAACTACTGTTCAACAGTTTGGGGTCAATAAGTTAGAAAATCTGAAAGAAATTCATACTTCTATTCGACAAGGATGCATTAATTTGTTCAAAAGTAAAGACATTTATAATGATACAAAAGTTTTCTATTTAAAAAAAATGCTGTTCTTTTGAACTTTCTATTCATCATAGAAAAAAAATGTTTTTAACTTTGATAATAATAAGAAATGCACCAAATCAGCATATCAGAATTATTTCTGAAGGATCGTGTGATAATGAAGACTAAAGTAATGGCTGCTGAAAATTCAGCTTGGCCATCAAAGGAAAACATTATATTTTAAAATATATTCAAATAGAAAACAGATATTTAATTGTAATAATATTTCACAACATTATTTTACTGTATTTTTTATCAAATAAATGCATTCTTGGATAGCCAAGAGACTAAAATGTTAGAAAATTTTACTAACCCCAAACTTTTGAATGGTAGGATATATTTGTGCATCTTATTTCATATATACAGTGGGTCCATATAAAATTATCTGGTTACTAGTGAGCGTATTCTGAAAAACAGACCAACAAAGACTTCTGAAACATTAATCCAATATGAACGGAGTGGATTTATAGCAAGGTCAATCAGGCTGATTAACTCAAGTGAAGTTTAAATCATCATGCTCACTCTAACAGTAGGATTGGCTCCATGCTCCAGTAAACACTTGACAGCACCGAGACAGAGGTTGGAGGCGGCGATGTGCAGGGCTGTGCCATGATAGAAGTCACTGCAGGTGGAGTTGAGCACTGTGTAGAGAGAAGAGAACCAGACACGTTGAAGAACACCCACCTTTATTAGTGGAAAATGTAATGAGATGCCAAATACTCATTAGCCACTTCATCATTTCCTTGTGCATGATACTTGACATTTTCTAAATGACTTAACTATTTAGCATTTTCTGTCTCAGCTTGTGTGTGAGAATGTGACTAGATCGTTTCAAAAAGCATTTGGCTTATTAAAATATTCAGACGCCGTCATGAATACAAACACTGTTTATGCTTTTGAAATTCACCTTTAGGCTTGGAGCCTTTGAGCAAAACACGAATCAGTTCTGGTACATCGAAGTAAGCTGCATAATGTAGGGCATTCATGTTGGTCCAACGACTGCGCAGACTCACATCAGCTCCCAGAGCTAGCAGCTGATTGGACAGCCGGAGTGCTGCCTCAGGATCACCTGAAAGGAAAGCACATTGTTACTATACCAACGGTCACACGATTTGCTTTTATTATGTCGGCACGTGTGAAATGCACCGCAAGGTTAGAGCTTTTCAAGGAGTTAGAATTTAATGACCTCAATTACAGAGAAATGCCAGATTTGGATTGTGGATTACAAGGCAAGTCAGGGCAAAGAACTCCAACCGTCAACTCCAGTGTCACTCACCCACTCCGTGAGCTCCTGCTTTGCAGCAGTAGTGGAGAAGAGTCATATCCGTCAGGCCATCACGGTCATTCACATGGCAACCTCGCTTTAAAATCTGAAAGTGACAATGGGAAAGAACATGAAGAGTTGATCAAGATCAACATATGATGAACTTCCATGCAACTGGAAGCCAATTAATAACTAATGTGGATTTGCGGGCAATTACGGTCTTGAGTAGATGAAGCTTTTCAAAAGCAAATGGGCACTTTCAAAGCTGGACGAGAGCCATATTAATGAGATGCACTCTAATGATGAAAAATTAAGCCAATTAATATTAATGATATGTGATAGAAATAAGCCTTATTGCTGAGTCATCCTTAATGTCACATTTTCTTAATGTATAGCAGCCATTTTGTGGAAAACTTAGAGCTGATATGCAAGAATCCCACTGATAAGAGTGCATTATAACTGAAAATGAACACAGGTCCATTTACATACCAAAAGACATCAAAAAGATTTGTGTATAAGTAAAAAATATGAAAAATGCCATCCATCCCAAATCTTCACAATTTTAATCCTCTACCTGTACCTGTATCCCTTCAGAAAAATACAACTCAAAATCATCCTAAGGTGTTTTTTTAAGTTGGTCTGGTTTGCTGGTTTTTCTCTGACACCAGTGAAACCAGCATAAACCAGGTAAAAGGCCGGTTTAAGCTAGTCTTGTTAGGAAGGTTGTGAAAACTTTTAACCTTATGAAACCCTTTACTTTGATTACACATCACAAGTCAGACCCACAAGGCCAAATACTGGTGGGCAGTGAGAGTTCTTCTTCACCGAGACCTGACAGGTGGAGCTGATTTCAGGCAGGACTCAATGTAAAGATCAGTCAAATATAGGAGGCTTGTTACCAATGCCATCAATCCCTGCAGCTCCAGTTCCTCTAGGGACACCCTTCTACAGCAACACACCTCCTTATCCATTACCCATCTTTACAGACCACAAGCAACAGTGTGCATATGAACATGAGTGTTTACAAGCGCTTACAAAGACTTCAATTAATATGTTAGTCAATTTAAATAATAAAAAATTTAAAAAGTGTAAATGACCCTTTCTCAGTACAACGTGTGTAAAATTAATTTAATCCACTGACATTTATTTTCCTGCACTGCAATCGAATCACTTTGGCAAAAGTTAATATAAAATTTAATATAAAGCTTAAAGGGTTAGTTCACCCAAAAATGAAAATTAGCCCATAAATTACTCACCCTCAAGTCATCCTAGGTGTATATGACTTTCTTCTTTCAGACGAATCCAGTCTGCGTTAAAAATTTTAAATTGTCTTTGATCTTTCAAGCTGTTTCATGGCACTCAGCGGGTGTTGCATGCATCAGTCTTGTACACTGGAAGCAGCTCCGGGCGGATGACCTCTGAGGTCAGCGTTGCACATGCGCCAGTGAGTCTCGTGAAAACCAAAGTTTGTTAACAGGAGCAAAGGAAGCAAAGTATCCTTACTTTAGCAAAGGAAAACCAGTCTCCTCTTGGCTTATATCGAAATCCTCTGACATTCTTCTTTACAAATCCTCGTTTTGTACTTCTAATTAGTGACCGTTGTTTTGTTTTGATCTCTCCGCTGCGTTTCCGCATGCGTCACATCTGAGCGGCGCATGCGCAAAGCTGACCTCACACGTCATTCCCCCAGAACTGCTTTCTTGTACAACAGTGAGCGAAAGCTACATTAAAGTGATTATTACGTTTTGAATATGGATATTTTTCTTACAAAAACGCATCGATTCACTACAGAAGGCCTTTGTTCACCCCCCGGAGCCGTGTGAAACACTTTTTTTTATGGATGGGCGCTTTTTATTTAACTTGCTTTGGACTGAAGCATGCAACACCCGCTGAGTGCCATGAAATAGCTTGAAAGATCAAAGACAATTTTTTATATAACTCCGGCTGGATTCGTCTGAAAGAAGAAAGTCATATACACCTAGGATGACTTGAGGGTGAGTAATTTATGGGCTAATTTTCATTTTTGGGTGAACTAACCCTTTAAGGCAAATGTGACTGTGTGGCAAAATAACATCTCATTCTAAGCATATGTACAATGTACTCCAGTGTGCATTATTAAAAAAAAGATCAAAAAAAGAAAGCTGAGAAACATTTGCTTAGACATGCATGGGAAAAAAAACTCTCACAAAGAGTGAAGAGGACAAAAGTCTTCAACAAGTTTAAACACAACCCATGGATTAGAAACCAGACTCTATCATCAGTTTATCGATAGATCATGTTACACAGAAATATTCGCAGCTGGATAGAAACTCAATATATCTCTCTACACTTGGCATTTATTCATGGTTCACTGTCTTCATTCATTAAGTAAAAGACTGCATAAATACGTTTTGTTAAATGCCCACATTTTCGAGAGGTTTCCTGTCTATACCGCTGACAACTCCAGATAAATACTTAAAGCTTTATTACCTCAGTGCCTATGATGTCGATCTTGTGTTGAACTTGTGGAACCCACTGGCGTATGATGGCGAACAGTTCTGGGATTGTGGTCCGAGGGTCTGTCAGAATCTCCATGCAGGCCGGATCATTTGGATCAAAGAAGGTAAACGCTATAATAGATATAATAATATAATAAAATGGAGGATATAAATACAGGGATTTATTACTCAACTCAACTCAACTAAATTTTTATTTATAAAGCACTTTCAAAACCATTAAAATGGACCAAAGTGCTGTCCATAAGTAAAAATAATACTAAAAAACATGCAAACATAAAATAACAACAAAAACATAACATCAAGAAAAACATGCAGCCAATCCCTCACAATTCTCCGACCTATTTAAACGCCGAAAGCTTGATAAAATAAGTAGGTCTTCAAATCCTTTTTAAAAATGTCCATGCTTGCCGAGGATTTTATAGAAAATGGTAACACGTTCCAGAGAGTAGGAGCCGCAACAGAAAAAGTGCGGTCTCCACTACGCCTCAACCAAGACCGTGGGACGGTTAGGAGCATATTCTGAGAGGAGCGCAGATGGCGTTGAGACTGGTAAGAAATTAACATGTCCTTTATGTACTCAGGAGCCTGATCGTGTAATGCTTTATAGACAAACATTAACACCTTGTATTGTATTCTGTATTTTACAGGTAACCAGTGAAGAGATATCAATACAACTAAATTCGACTAAATTACCACTACATTATGCTGTGGAACTTTAGTAACTTATAGCTTAAGATTTCTTCTTGTTCTCTGTAATATATTTGGATAGATCTGACTGCTAGGATGAGGAACCCACCATAGTCCTTGGGCAGTGGAGCCTGTGCAGATGGATGCACTATGGGTTTTTTGCGGGGTTCATGAACAGGGCTGATGAACTCAGAGGCCGGCTGGGCCTCTTCCACCTCAGAAGTTTCCTCTTTAGTCATTCTGCTTATGTGTTTGGGCCTGTACATTAAAAATGCATAGTTAAAAATAACAATACAGAGTGCAATTTCATAACTTTTATAGACATGTGCTCATAAAATGATTTTTTTTTCTGGCCAATAATACACTCAAATTAAAAATGCACTTTTCGCACTGTGAAAGCAAAGTAGTGTAGAAAAAAAATCAACCCACTAATGATAACTCGTTAGCAATTTCTTGATTTAATTTGACATTAGTTTGGTTCTCTTGGTTATTTTGGTCCAGACCAAAAAAGAAAATAATACATTTAGGTTCGCTTAGCGTTCACACTGTGATTTTTAACACCTAACCTAAAGATACAAAACAAAAGGCATAAAGATATAGTCACAACCTAATTGGACAGCTTTTATGATGTATTTTTTGTAACTTTACCAAACATCCAAATCAATGTTGTGTGCAAAGCAAACGCGCTCACACAATGTGTGAACATAGGGTGGTATTTTTACCAGCTGATCAACTAATGAAGAGCTTATAAAATATGTAAAGCATTCAAAACAATGCCATGAATTCCTCCGTTGTACACAGAGATCTGTTGTAAGGAGACGGCGGTTCTGATGCCTGCACTGAACTGTAATGTGCAACATACAACCAGGTCGCATCTTGTGATATCACATCCTGTTTTGGGTTCGTTTAGATGTCTTTGGTCCATGTTGCACACATATATCAGTCAAACTGCACCAGAGATTTGAAAGCAGATCCGACCAAGGTTCGGACGGCAGCGTTCACCCTTATTCAATTGAACAGCACTAACAGAGCAATCGCACCAGAGTTCGTTTTAATCAAACCAAACCTGCCAAGTGTAAACACACCCTAAATGAACTGAGCCTTCTTCGACACTCTCAAAATTAATTTTGTTTGATCACTGCTCAAAAACAACAGTGAATATATGTGATATGAGACGTATGATCATGAACCTCTATGCCACAGTTATCCCTCCCAGCGATGCTCTATGTTTAGTATGGAGACTTGCGAAGCGGATGAGTGACTCACTGCTTCTATAGCACAGTCTGTTGGAACAGAGGAGAGACCGGACCTCACAAGCCACATCTTAATGGAGACCCATGCTGAATATAAAAGTCATTGCAATTTACTTTGATATCTCAGATGCCTGTATGTCTTCTGCTCAGTCAGCCATCAAAAAAACATTCAGGGAATTAATTGGAGAATGCTAGACTTAGCCCAACACTACAGCATGTGTCCTACATTGTTTTATCAAATTCATCTGGAAGTTTCCCCAAATATTTGGAAAGCAGACCATGACATGTAGTATTTTTCATGCAACTGATATATTTTATGGTTTTTAACATCAGTATATGAAATGCCTGCAATCTATGTGACCAAAGAGAATATTGAAACCACACTGCATCTCAAGTTCATGTTATTTAGAGAAAAAACATTGATCCATTGGAATGAACTACCACTGACATATAATAAAATCAAAATACTTATTAATGGGCTACCTTCAAAAGCCCATTAATCATGATCTTATATGACAGATTTTACTCCTCAACTGAGTTTAGATTTTGCTCTGTAAAAATGTATTTTCTATGATTAATTTATCAGATCTTATTGAGCTATTATTGTGATTCCTTATAATGCATATTTAATTAAATGTCTAGATACCCAATATCTGATCTGTTCTGAATAGGCCTACCATTTCATCAGAGCAATGATCAAAGTGAATATGAGCTTCAGTATCACACTCGCTCATTTTAATAATACATTATGTATTCCTCAAAAGGTTTTTAATTGCTTCTGGAATAAGCTCACACATTAGAAGTTTGTGGTAGTGCTTTCAATGTCCTTCAATTGCACCAGACTGTGGGAGACAGGATGGTGCTTACACACTACAGAGATGTCAATTAAACAAACAGGCCACATGTTAACAGATTTTGTGTCTTGTAATGATAGCTGGCACTTCAATCAGAATTCAAATCTTTTTGAAAATGCTATCAATAATAAAACCATTATTTCTGTTAATTTCCATAACGGCTGCAAGGTTAAGATTCAAAGCTTTCTCTACTTCATAATGGAAAATAGACCAATAATATGCAACCACATAATAATATTTCATAACAGTTAAGTACTGTATATATAAACTGCAAATGATGATAATATCTGTGTACAGTTGAATCGTTCATTTTCTAAAAAAAAAAAAAACTGGAATAAATAACAGCATAAGACTATTACATAAGACTATTATTATATAATTTAAAGGATTAATATAATTTAAAGGATATCTGAGCTGCTGAATATTTAATTTGTATTTTACTCTTGTGCGTTCTACCAAAAAGGGGTGTATTCAGAAATGGATCGTGCACAAATGAAATCGACACAGTCTTCAATCTCACAATATTATTGATTAAATCGTCGATAAATAAATCACATTCATCTAAAATCTGTATCTCGCGACTAAACATATAAAAACAGATGCAGTGTGTTTTCGTATTCTCCTATGAAGCATGTCAGTCTTGCCCTGTGTCAACAAGAAAACATGGACGCTCCATCACGCAGCACATGAAAAACAAGCAGGTTTTCTCACGCGGAAAAACAAGATGGCCAGCTATATTTTGCGAACATTTCAGATACTTGATGCAGCGATATAATATCCTTCTTACCTGATAACAACACTCAAAATCGCGATTTCTTCCCCCCTCTTTTGTCAGTCGTTGTGCTATGGAGGATGGAGAGGATGCTGCGCCTTGCCCTTCTCTCTGTCTGCGTCACGGTTGTGACTCACGGCTGGACCACTCTCCTCTCTGCATCTCCTCAACCGAACTTGATGCTCATTCTAGAACCTGCTACTTGAGGCATAAACGCTTTGTCAAGACAGACTTGCTCACACAATTGTCAAGACAGACTTGAGCAATTCAAATACGAATGCAATAAATGGATAATTCATACAATGGTTGGGTCGACATTTAAAGGCAGAGTAAGCGATTTCTGGTAGCCAATGTTGATATTTGAAATCACCAAAACAAACACGCCCCTACCCCAAAAGGGTCTTGCCCCTATTTTGATAGCTCCGCCCCACATATATGTACGCAACCCAGGCAACGATTAGTTCTGTGAAACAAAGCAAAACCAATGTTACACCGTGTCTACGGACGTGAGCGGCGCGGTGCAACAAATCCCGACAGAAAACTGCTGCCGGGTTCTATTTATGACGTGCTGACACAAATTTCAAATGGTTTTCAACGGTTGTTTGATCGCGTCCAGTGTAGGCAGACTTTAGCTGTTGTAGACACGGTGTTACTCACCTATTGAGAAGAAACAAAGCAACCTCGGCGTCCGATCGCAGGCCTCCGCTCCTTGAGTTCTCTCCAGCGCTGGAAAGCTGATCCGATATTTACACGGGTCCTACTTCTTGCCTTATCGTTCCGCAGACGTTTTCCTCTTTTGTTTTTTATCCGCCATCTCTATCTTTCGGTCGCTCGGCTCGGCTAATGTCCGTCCCATGCACTGAACGCGCTCTCCTCCACATCACGAGTAGACACGCCCCTTATTGCTGATTGGCTACAAATTTGTTTTGCTATTCGGCCCGAATCAGTTTTCTAAAGTGTTTTTGAAAAATCACATACCCTGCCTTTAAAGGGAGACCGGGTATAGTTGTAACGCTTTTTGTTTCCGGTATCTGTAACTCGCTGGATTTTTGAGCTAGGGTGCTCAAACTTTTATACAAACCACCCACATTTGTTTACTACAAAAGGCACCAATTCAAACCTCTGCAAGAATATCACAGCTCTTACAAGTTGATGTCAAATACATGGTGTGCCTTATAATCTATCCCACTGCGGGGGTAGGTTGTAACACATGCTGGGGTAAGTTGTAACAATTAGACAAAAGAAGCAAAAACAGCAGCCACATTATGCAATATGCTTCAAAAAATGGTTTATTGAAACAATCCAAAAGAACAATACAAAACAATGGCTCACTTTCTATGACTGACCACTGCTCAAATCCTCTTTCTCTTTGAAGCAGGAATCGTGTGCGTGTGTTTAAATTGGACTATGGAACAAACTTACTTAACAGTATTTCTGTTTAATGTACACTCAACTCCAGTGTACCTAGATAAAGAACATGTAGATCTAACAAAAAACTGTGTAAATGTGTGTACGATTGAGTCTATGTATGAATGTTCTCAGAGTCACAGTGGTGACAAATCAGTGTTTTTAAACCTAGAGTGCATGCTTGGTGGATCCAGAGACTGAATATTGCACATTTTACCCACACTTCCTTTGACTTTGAGTTGCCAAATGGCTCCATATGGACAACATGAAAGTTCTCAGTTGTATGTAAGGGGATGCTAAGATGTATTACAACTTACCCCACCCCTGTCATAGCTGTATTACCATAATGGTTTGAAATTAGCCGTTTAAAAATGCACATTTTGCCTGAGAATCTACAATTTGTTCCTAATGTAAATTATATGGTTTTATCAGTATAAGTTGTCACGGACAGTAACAGAGAGAACCCAAAGGCAGGTGAACAAACAACAATCGGGCAAAGTACAACACACACACAAGAGAAATAAGTAGGGCAATCAATGAGCAGGATAACAAGCAGTGGCAGGTGAAAACAGCTCAAAATAGTCAAATTAATCCTTAGTCGGGCAACAGTCACAGAATGGCAAGAGAGTCTAGGTGGCAAAACCACATAGGTGCAGGCTGCTGCTGAAGTAAGGACAGGCAGAGGTAACCAAATGAAATCTCCAGGACAAAACAGAAGCCATGTGCTAGATGCACATGACAACCATAAACACGAACAGACAGACAAAGCCAGGCCGATCAGCCCGGGGTCCTGACAATAAGTACTAAACAAAATATAGTTTTGGTTAAAAAAGTGGTTAAATAATGCAGTTATCATAGGACTCCTAGCTTATCCCTTATAGGTGGAATAGGTGTTGTTACAACTTTCCCCATGTTACAACCATACCCGGTCTCCTATACGTCTGTAATCTTAGGGGCGCAATCAGTTAAAATGATTGCCTTTGATGTCTTTATAAACACAGAAAACCTTCAGTTATGTTAACTTTTTAAACAACATACCAAAATTTTTTATTATTTGTGATATGTTAATCTACAATAAAATAATGGATAACTACAGTCCTGTTTTGTCGAGAAGCTAATTGTAACGGGGAAAAAACACTCTAGCAGGTTCACCAACATGCATTAGCCTAGCGCAATGGTTTTGTAAAAGGTTCAGATTTTATGAGTATCAACATTTGATTTGAAGCAAAGTTCTTTTTTTTCTTTCTTTTTTTTTAGAAGGGCAAAGGTCCAAACTCACACCTAATGCACTGAACAGAACTGTCATATTTTAAACGTCATATTTTTACACAGGGTCCTGTATATTTCAGAATTAAGAAACATTTTTACTACAATGTATCAGATAGAACTTACTGCTATATTATATATACAGCTACTCCGTATAATAGCCTGTACTGTAGAGTTGTTGCATTAACACTTTTTAAAAACGTATATAACATGCTAATTTAATATAATATTAATGCAAGCTTTCAGACTAAGTCCTGTAGCTCAGTAGAACAATTGTGCTATTTTCTATACCTTTCTTGGTGGGCTTGGCTAAAACAGAAATTTCCTGAAAAACATCAACAGACTTTATAACAAGTGTTCGTGTTAATACAGACAGTAGTTGACAGCATGTCATTTCACCACAGCAGACACTCTTCCTCTCATTCCTATTATTGCTACGTCATCAGTCTTGTGAATTTTGGATATAAGATGGATATAACATTGACAAATGTATTATATGTTGTCACAGCTGGCTTGGTGCAGTTATTGCTGTGGAAGAGTTGAAGAAAGCAGAGCAGCATTGGGCAGCTGCCTCCATGACCACTCCAAATCCAGTGCTGAGAAATATACTTCAAATTGATTTCAAGGAACCATACAAGTATTACCTAAAGGTCAGTATTCAATATGAACAGCTGTTTGTGCTTGGATGGCTGTCAGGACGTAGAAGAATATGTGCATATACCATTTAGTACTATTGGTGCTTATAGGGGGAAGTTGTGGCCTAATGGTTAGAGAATCGGACTCGTAACCCAAAGGTTGTGGGTTCGAGTCTTGTACCGGCAGGGATTGTGGGTGGGGGGAGTGAATGTACAGTGCTCTCTTCCACCCTCAATACCACGACTGAGGTGCCCTTGAGCAAGGCACCGAACCCCCAACTGCTCCCCGGGCGCCGCAGCAAAAATGGCTGCCCACTGCTCCGGGTGTGTGTTCACTGTGTGTGTTCACTGCTGGGTGTGTGCCCTTTGGATGGGTAAATGCAGAGCACTAATTCCGAGTATGGGTCACCATACTTGGCCACATGTCACGTCACTTTTTTTTTCCACTGTTTTTTATACTGTAAAATGATTATAAACAACATGGCTGGCAACCCAGTGCTGGGTAAATATTGGACAGAACACATGCTTGGCTAAAGTAACCTAACAAGTTGGGACATGCATTTTAACTCATTAAGCTGGATAAAATAAACATGTATATAAATAATAAAAAATAACCCAGACAATTTTTAGAGTGTAGGTGAGATTCTCAAATTTTCTCTCCAGAGAGGATTAAATATGTAATTTAGAGGATCCCTTTATTGCTGTTGTTCAAAGATGAATTGTACTTTTGCTTTTTTGCCCTCTGAATTGCTGACTAAAGCACATTATAACTCATATTATATCTGTACCAATTATATAAATAAGTATACTTGGATACATTTGCATAAAGATTGTTATTCTTGGTTATTCATCTGTTCTTGCTGTTCTTCCCTTAATAAGTATGGCTCTGTTGTCACCATCTGGTTGGCAAACACTCCTGTGGTGATCATTTCTGGATATCAAGCCCTAAAGGATACTGTGGTTGGTCTTGGTGAAGAATTCAGTGTCAGGGCCAACTATGCCCTGTTGATGAAGATCACACTTGGATATGGTGAGTTCACTATTTTTGTTTAACATTAGAAGACCAGAAATGCTGTTAACATTGTCTCTGTGTGCAGGTGTTCTGTCCACCGGTGGATACCGATGGAAGGAGATGCGCAGGTTCACTCTTATGACACTGAAGAACTTCGGAATGGGCCGCAGGAGCATCGAGGAACGAGTCAGGGAGGAGCCTGAGAATCTTGTGGAAATGTTTAATATATAATATGTCTAATATATATAAGGTTAAATCATTTAATATTCTCTGCATGTCCTTTCTTATATTCAGGTTATCAGTTGACATAAACTCTAAACTCTTGATCTTAGTATTTTGATCTTATGTTCTTTTCTCCTCAAAGGCTCTGCATTCAGCCCTGCAGACATGCTGTCTAATGCTGTGGCCAGTGTGATCTGCAGCATTGTCTTTTGGCATAGGTTTGAATTTGAGGATCCACCGTTTAAGTTTCTGCTTCAGACTGTAAATTCTGTCTTCACTGTCCTCAATAGCCCTATTGGACAGGTATTGTACTCCTAAGAAGTTTTAATTGTCATTTATATTTTGTATACACTCTTAAAAATAAAGGGGGTTTTCAAGGCAATGCCATAGAAGAACCATTTTTGTTCCCCAAAGAACCTTCCTGTGAACAGTTCTTAGAAGAATATTTTTCACTATAAAGAACCTTTTGTGGAATGGAAGTTTCCAGAGTGTAGTAAAAAGTAAAACAAACAGGAGTAAAAAGCGAAACAAATAGCCCTGCAACAGCAAATTTGTTAAGCTAAATCTGAATTAAATTTGTTATAATATTATAATATTTTGGTTTTGTAAGTCATCTGAATATTTCATGCATAAATAACTTTATTTTCTTTCTTTATAGATCGATAATGTATTTCCTAAGCTAGGCAGCCTTTTTCCTGCACCACCAGCTGTTTAGAGACATAGACAAGGCCAGAGAGTACTGTAAATGTCAGGCCAAGGCACGGATAAATAATGTGGACCCCTCGTGTCCGCAGGACTTAATTGATGCCTTTGTGCTAAAAATTCAAGAGGTAAAAATAAATGGAAACATGTACTTATTTATCCTTTTTCCTGTCAACAAACAGGCCTATTTAAATATTCGCTCACATTCTGCTTGTGAGACTGCGGTATAATTATTGTATTAATTATGTTGTTCTCTTTCACAGGAGAAAGACATAGGCGGACCAGACCAGAGCCAATTGATTTTGCCAGAGCTATTAATAAAACAAATATATTTTTTAACATTTTTTATTCCACTCTTTGTATAGCCTACCAGTCATTGTTAATTGTAAATGTATTGTAAATGAAGAAGAAATTATATAGGCTATAAATAATTGAAATGTAGAAAATATGGTAGGCCTATATAAGGTATGTAAAAAAACATAAAAAAAAAAAAAAAGTGAAACTCCACCTATATGGAGAAAGACAATCCTGACACAGAATATCATTTTGACAACTTGATTTCTCTGGTATAAATTTTTTTTCAAAAAATTTTCTAGTTCACTGCTTCTTTGTATATATTAGACTATACAAATTTGACCTCTTTATGAAAACTGAGGTTGACACATGCTACATAATTACATTTTTTTTTACCGTTTTAGACATATGGGGACAAATATAACCCTACTGATTCCTCATTGGTTCCCACTGAGGCAAATCACAGACAATTAAATTGCTGATACATGAGGAAAAGATGATTTTTGAACTGTGCTCTCTTGACAGGCAAGCGTGTGTTTCTCGGCGAGGCTTTGGCTCGCATAGAGCTCTTTATCTTCTTCACTTCCCTCCTCCAGCACTTCACCTTCAAAGCCATGGGGTACCTCCAGAGGAGATTGACATAAATCCCACAACCAGCGGTTTTGGCCGCATGCCCCGCACATATGAGTGCTATGCCATTCCTAGGACATAAATGAAGGAACAGTCCAGTATGCAAGGATTAAATTAACTTGCATTTTCCTGCAAAACAACTTCCACACATAGCTTCCACGTGGAAGGCTTTTTCAGCGAAATGGTTATTGAATTACAAAATGTTAATAAAAACATTCTCTTAAACAAATGACTTCAGCTGTAGTAACATTCACATTCATATACTATCAGAAATGTCAAGAATGATTCAACAAACACAAGAGCACACTGAACCATATGGTGACCAAAAAGCTGTTGGAACAGGGAACTCAACACAATGATTATATGCATTATAATGTAATATAATGATTTACAAAAAAACTATATATACATGACACTAATTGTCTGAAAGATGTGAGAAAATGTGATGTATGATGCATGACTGAAAAGTTTTACATTACATTACAAAAGTTTTACATTTATGGCTGCATTTGTGCTTTTCTGCAGTGAAATATGACAAATATAACATATCTCAAAACTCAAAAAAGAATAATTGCTTTAATGTTCTAACACATTGTCACAACACAAGTCATCGGTAACAGTCGCAGCCTCGCAGGTGCTTGTAATGCCGAGTTCACACCGCACGATTTTCAAAGTCGTCGGATCGCCGTTGTTTTCACACTGCGTGACTATCTGGGGTAGCATTCAGTTGCTGCTGTGTTCACATTGCACGATGGATCGGCGACAGGGGGTTTCACATTGCATGACTTCACAATAGGAAGAATGGCTGACAGCTCTTTCTGGTCTGCAAACTACGTGTCACAACAAAACACAAGCGAGAAGTGATAAGGAAATAACGCGAGAACCCGCGTGTGTCAGACCGGAGTTCTCCAGCAAGACTTGTAATTATTAAAAAAATATATATATAGCCCGCAAATTGTCTGTGAGCTGATTTCCAGCTACAAGGAGAAAAAGAAAAACAGATTATGCAGGAGGGAGATGCAGGGAACAGGGATTGGGTGTTCTGCAAAGAGAGTTGGAGGTAAATAATTTAGCAGTAACTGTTATGCTGATGTTGTGGCTGGTCAAGCAAATGTTTGTGCTTGTTTCTGTATGATATAATTGTTCATATATCTATTAAAATACTGATATTCTGGTCTATAACTCCTCCCCGAACTTCCCGCTGCCCTGTATCTTGGTCTCTCATTGGCTGTAGGTCATCGCCGATGTGTTTTTCAGTCAGAACTCATTTCACACAGCGTGATTGTGAATCGCAGACAGCTCCAGATATTTAGCATGCCAAAAATTTTGCGGGCGTCTGCGACGTGTCGGCGATTCCCTCAGATCGCATCTTTGATAATTCACACTGCGTGATTGTCACTCGCGTGAACGAGCACCGATTTGCCTCCGATGTCGGGCATTTGTCGGCGATTTCGCAAAACCTGTCGGCGAGTGAAAAATCGGGCTAAAATCGTGCAGTGTGAACTCGGCACGATTTTCAAACTCGTCGGATCACCGTTGTTTTCACACTGCGTGACTATCTGAGGTAGCAGTCAGTCGCTGCTGTGTTCACATTGCACGATGGATCGGAGACAGGGGGTTTCACACTGCATGACTTCACAATAGAAAGAATCGCC